GATCAGTTCGAAAAGACGAATTGACCTAGCAATCTTCTCCTGTCCATCTATAAGAAAACTAGTATTGAAATTTTGAACTCATCGAATGAAACTCTGTAGAGATATTTATGGGAATTGATTAATTTTTAACATCTGTTTTGATGAAAGAAACTAAATTCTTAACATAAACTATTGTTTTCAATTGAAAGTTAGTGAAATTGCAACAACAAATTTTTGTTATTATTTTCGTTTTTGCAATTTCACTATTGTGAATTTAACAGATGTACACTATGAACGGATGATATTGGTTGGACAATTATATCCATTGTTGTAAATATAATTGCAACTCATTGTACGTCTATCAATTTAATAATTACTTGAAAATATGTAAAAAATTTATTTAAAAAATGAGATAATTTGAACCGTAGTAAAATCTATCTTTTTCAAACAATATTTGTTTGCAAACCTTCCACGTTTTGGAAGACCTCTCATTGATATCAGCATTAAAGATATCCAAATTTCAATTGCCAGAGTAACTTTAGATCTCAATAGAACTGGTCTTTCACATAATGAAATTAGTTTCTGGTCGTTATAAATATGAACGACGTGTGTGCTGGAAGGCTAATTGTAAATTTTTAAGGCTATTGGCTTGCATAAAGCAACAGGTTCTTAGGGAAACAAATGTAGCTGCACTTAATAATCCGTATATATAACTTAATTTATAGAAATTGAGCAAAAACCGGCGTGGCATTTATTGATTTAAGCGCTGCCTATAACACGGACTGGAACTACCGACCTTATGTTCTAATCATAGGAAACAATCTCCTATAGCAAGATGTGCACCATTATCAAAAAATTGTTCAGTGAGTGTTTATTAAATGTTTATATTAGTGAAAATCAAAGTCAATCAAAGCGATTAAAGATTATGCACCCACACAAGTTGTTACATTCAACAAAGGGATTAAGAAGGAAACAGCCTTTTTTGGGAATACAATCAGATCATTGGGCTCACCAAGTTCAATATTTAACTCACCGAGTTTAATACTCAATTCAACAATTTTTCATAATAGAATATTCATTAGAAAAATATAGAGGTGTTTCGAACAATAGTGAATTGCAACAACAAAATTTTATTATTATTAATTAATTGAATTTTGATTAACCATATAGTTATTGCGAGTATTGTCAAATATCCATCATAAGTGGTCTTGCAACTATTTATTAGATCCAAATCCAACAAATTTTACTAATTTTGTTTAAATAAGCCAATTCAAATGGGTATAGCGTAAAAAGATTTCAAAGAAGAATTATTCTATGTTAAAGTATCTTTAAAATACAGACTTTCTTATTTATAGTTTTACAAATAATATGAGTGCAATACAGACAATAGAATGAAGATGATATTTAGATATAGATTTTATTAATATTGATTCATGTAAGATTCTAAACCTGATGATGACTCAAGCATAGTCGAAATATAGAATATATTAAAAAATATTTAACAATCGTTGAATTTTAATTTTAACAAAAAGTGACCTAAGCCGGATAAAAAACATAGAAAAAACATTATTAAAAAATGGGTAGAGAAATATATTCAAAATTTAATAATATAAATGAATACTTATGACAGCATTTCTGCATTTCTGATTTTATTAATTTATGAAAATTGGATGCATTCACACCTATTTAGAGAATAAGAGTTTTGTTATTTTTTTAGACCTACTCTATCAATATTCAGCAAATTTAAAGACTTAGAGACAGATTTCATGCCAAATAAACTGACAAACC